AGATAAACACATGCAAATGTAGACAGAACGTGCGAGGTTTTACTTTCACAGCATACACGTAATGTCCATGGCATGCGAGACCAGTCGCGATTACCCTTCTACCTCACTGCTCAGGTAATCATTTCAGCCACTATCCTCAATATTTCTACCCTTCGTTCTCAGTCCTTCTCCGCCACTTTCCCTATCATTGCAGTGTACTCATCATCTATCATCAGGATCTCCCGCAGTCGCTCTCTGTGTTATCCTTGTCGTCGTCGATTTCCAACATGCCTTCAATCTGGAGCTACTTTCATCATATCTTATGATTATGTTCGTTGATTTATTTCGTCACCCTTGTTTCCAGATATGTTCATTCCATATTCGCGTTGTCTGATATGATTTCAAGTTTTAGAGTTTGGTGGTAGCATGTTTGAAAAGATTTCAAACATTCCAACTCTTTCGTTTGATCTTCCTTACTTGCTATTATGATCATCATTACATCGTCCACAAAACTCATATCATGGATAAGTTTCTCATCAATTCCAGTTTGCGCACACCATCTATACTCGTCGAACGCGCATGCCATGTTGGCAATGGGTGGGATAGAGCCCTTCCCCATTGGTATCCCCATTACTTGGCATAATAATGTTTCTTGTACTTTGAAGTTTGAAGTATGCGTTTTTGATGTCATAGTACAACAGATCCATTAGGCACTCAATTTTTAATGTTCTTCATCCATAGGTTCCGTTTGTTTTTCCAAAGTTCATGTACTTTCCTCTCATCTTGTAACAGAAGTGGGTTTTCCGTTTTTCTTTCGCCGTTTTCATCATCCATTGCATGACGTTTAAGATATGTATGTGATCGAGATTCGAAAACATATCTTTGACATCGTATGTGGAGCAGATTATCGTAGTCATATCCCCGTATGTTTCTTTTGCTACTTGATTGCATTTCTTCAGTCTAGGTAGTAGTTGGTTCGTTCCTTTTAGTGAGAAACTAATTTTCAGTGCTTGACACATGAAGTTGATAGCTCTTGATAGTACCTTCGATGCTTTCCGAGATGACTCCTTATACGTCGACACAATTGGTCGGCGTCTGATGACGTCCTTGTCTTTTAGAATTGTATACGCATTTTCGTATGATCCCTGTTCATCCCATTCTGCGATTTTCTTCAGCCCACATCCATGATACGTATTTTTGGCCAATTGAGTGATTTCAAATTCCGTTTGTTGTATAATTTCGTAGTGATTCGATTCCGGAAAGAATTTTCGGGTCTTCTCATACCAGATTTTACGACATTCCACAAAAGTTTCTCCAGGATTTATGTCCAATGGTGATAGGATACATTGTGTCAATCTTATTTTTGCTTCTCATATTTCTGATATCATGACAGTGTGAAGAAAAATTTTCATATCATTCTTATTTTCGATGCAAGCAGAGACATTTTTTTTAATTTATCTTTTCTTCCTTAGTGGTCGTGGTATACTTGTAATGGTAGTGATGATTGTCCTTTTAATTTATTCCTTTCTAGTTTTTTCGTTTATATGGGGTACGTTTTTTGCATTCCACAAGAGCTGATTTTTTGTGATTTCACTTAATCTGCAGGCAATGTGATTCTCAATTTTTGGAAGTCGGGATACTGCACAATTACAGTCCGGTGCTTGTGTAAGCACCTGTCTGTGATTGTGTAATATTTTTCCGACTTTCTTTGATTTTTTAAACATCACACGCATCCGAGCTGTAAAATCGTTTGCCAAATTGTTATTACTTACGTTTTTCAAGATAGACTCGGTTGTTCTGTTTCTCACTTGCTTCAGATTAATGCGTGCATCAAATGAAATATTAAATATCAGCCTTCTCTTGATATTGAATGCAAACTTCTTTTTTGAAATTCGTATGAAAATGCTTTTAATTGTTCGTTTTTGCTTCTTTTCGGTAATTGATCCCACCTTTGACAGAAGAATCAGTATATCATCTAACGATAATTTATACAGTTCCCTCCGTCTCCATGGTGCCCTCAAACAGTTAATCAGAATATTTCTATGTTTGTTTGTTTTCGGTCTCGTATGCACCAGTTGGATCACATAGAAGATACATTCATTTTCGATTCGTTTTCTGCATTTTTGTAGCTATAACTTTGTGTTGTCAATTTCCACAATTGTTGATCCGAATGTTCGTTTAATTACTTTCCATTTTTCATTCCATAGTTTTTCAGTTGTGCAGTAAATCATTGTTTTCGGTTGAAGTATTGATGTTACCTTCGTAGTGTAACCCGATCGAACGGATTTAAACAAAACAGGTATATTATGATTCACCTCATTGTTTCTATTCTTCTTCCTCTTTCTTCTTCTTTGTCTTCGGTTTTTTCGAGTCTTTCTGCCTTTTCCCCTTGTATTCAAGAATTGATTCAGTCTCCTAATCAGTGTTGCTTCCATCCCTATCACCTCTGATCCTACTCCCGTCCAAATGAGTATCAGAACATATTTCTCCCAACCAAATTTGAGCAACCAACTGTATAGTTTCCGCTGTGCTCCTCTATTTGGATTCTTGGCCAAGTTTATGTATTCAGTCCATCTCTTGTCGGACTGTCTTTCTGTCCTTCCCACGTACATATGTCTACACTAAGGTGAAACTCCCTGTACTAACTAGTTGCTCAATTTTCGTTGATAGCCTGTGTATCTGCTCCCACTTCTGTGTCGTGGTGAGGTCGCCTGATGCTGAGGTGTCTTCTACCTTCCTGACAGATCTTCAGCGCTCGAAGATGTGTCGGATGAGTCAAACTCATCACTCCCGCTTGATCTTGTACTAAGGCTCTCGTAATCATCCTCACTTGTGTCGCCGCCAGTTGTATTGGACACTCTTATGTTATCTGGATCTAGCATGATCTGTGTTTCAAGATCAGAATCCCGGTTGAAGTCCCGCCCCTTGTAGGCGATCAATCCAGGAACTTCCCTCAATGTGGAGATCGCTTGCGGCTTGTCCTTGTACCTGATGTCATGCATCTTGCATAAGACCTTCAAGTCCGTGTAGTGAAGACGAAGGAGCTGCATGTCCATCATCGGTTCGACCCCGAAATTAATGTTCCGTTTTGCCTTCGACTTCGCTGTCGACACGTTGCGATTAATCTTCGTTCGTCCTCTCTTGGGGTGTGGAGGGATTACGCGTCCCAATCTTCTTTTGTTCGGTGCGCTTCTGCTTAGCATGCTTCGGTTCGGAATGCTGTTGCTACCATGTACTGAAGTTGGTAGTCCATCTATTGTTCCCCACATATCCGTTCGGATGAACCGAAGACGACACGATCGGAGTGCAGGTACGGATCGGTTCATCGATCTTCTGCAACGCGCCCTTCACAACCGCCAGATCATACTTTAGTAGCTTCAGGTTGTTGACCTCCTTCTGCACTTCCGATACCATCCTTTCTACTTTATCTTCCACCTCTGCATTCTTCTGACCGGTTGCGCTTGGACCAGTTTGATTCCCTCCCCCTTGGTTCATCTCTGTCGGCTCCAGTGCTTCATCAATGATGGACTTGAGCGCGTCCGGAGTTAGCTCAGGTTTCTTTGCAGTGTCTTCTTTGTTCGGAGGAGCTGGCTCCTTTTCACTTGTCTTTCGTGTGAGTTGCTCCAGTGTCTTGAAAACTTTGTCCATCTCCCGGCGGAGCTTAAAGATTTATTCCTTTAGATCCGTCGTAAACCACGCTCGATTTCCTGGTAGGGGGAAATCATTCTGTCTTTGCTCCCACAATGGCCTCGAGAACCACCTTGGAGATTCTGACTCTGCCCTTCTTCTCCGTGACGATGGTGATCTTGACTTATGTCTTCTATCTCTCGGAGTTTTCGATCTCCCCCTTCTTGAGCGCTTCCTCCCTTGAGATCTGGAAGATGATGATGAGTGTCTGCGCCGCCTCCTGTCCGACGATGATCGYGAACGMGACATCTTCCTTGAAGCTTGGGAACGTCAGGTAGGTAGTCTTCGTACTTGAAATCGATAAAAAAAACCACAATGTCGTTGATCGTCTTCAGTACACACCAGATAAGTAAAATAGAATCTCCAAAAATCGCTGAGTAATTTCCACGCTATAGTAATCTCCAACAAATCGCCACTATGATATCATGAAAGAAAAGGGTTAAGAATGATGAGAGAGAGATAAAGACAGTGAATGTAAAATGGAAGAGTGATAGGTCTATACAGTGTCGATCATCGCGGGTACCGCCCCCAAGTTCTAAGCACCGTACATAGAGATAAACACATGCAAATGTAGACAGAACGTTCAAGGTTTTACTTTCACAGCATACACATGCAAATGTAGACAGAACGTGCGAGGTTTTACTTTCACAGCATACACCTAATGTCCATGGCATGCGACACCAATCACGATTACCCTTCTACCT